GGTGGCCACATAGCCGCCGGGTGGCCGCCGAGCCCCGAGCGACGCCCGAGCCGCCAAGCCTGGTTCGGGCCCGCTGGGGCCCCGAAAAGCAGCGCCGCTCTGCGCTAGGCGCGGGCCACCGCCCCCGCAATCTTTGATTTCACCCCGTCTGGCCCCCGTATCGCCCCTGCCCGTCCCAACCCGCACCATGTTGCTGAGCACGAAAGCCATGGTGGCGGCGAGCACCATCTTATCGTTGGCCGCCATCGACCCCCACCACCCTTTCCGGGGGCCGGGCTCGTCGCCGCTGCTGCTGCTGGGGGTGCTGCTGGGGGTGCTGGTGCTGCTGCTGCTAATGTGGCTACTGTCGCTGCTGCTGCCGCTGCCGCTGGGCCCGGAATGCTGAACCTGCTGCTGCTGCTGCTGCTGCTGCTGCTGCTGCTGCTGTTCCTGCTGCTGCTGTTGGTGGTGCAACCGCGGGCCCACAGGGTGTGGGATCACCGAGCTAGAAGGCTCCGCGAGCGGCGCCGCATGCTGCGGCGGCGGAAATGTGCAGCGCGGTGGCATGGGTTGGGAACGTGCAGGTATGGACGCTGCTGCAGCTGGCCCGCGGCGCGCGCGGGGCGCGGGCGCGAGTGGCTGGCCGCGCCCCCATGTGCACGCATGTGCCGTGCCTCGGCGGGCCCGCCCGCCCGCCCGGCTCACCTCCGTCTCATGCGTGCGCGCGGGCGGCGCCGCTATCAGCAGGCTAGGCCGCCTCGTCTCCACGGCGCGCGCCACTGTCTGTGCGCGCGCTCCCGCGCCGCGCCACGCGCCGGCGCACCCAGGGCATCCCACTGACGACGGCTTGCCCAGCAATCGCGCAGCTGCTGGCGCCATTGCAGCTGCCGCTGCTTAGAACACCTCCTCTCGTCGAATACGTCGACTTCGGGGGTAATGTGCGCGGGGCACCGAACCTCGCACCGATGAAAGGAGATGCGGGATCGTTTGCGGCCGGGGGCCTTTACGAATGTCTAAAAGGATACTTTTAAACGACCCCGCGGTTCAAGTGGCGTCCGTGGGCCGTGTCCGGACTCACTCGACATGCGCCGCACTCCACCCTGAGTGGGTGCGGCGACACCTCAGGACCTCACCAGAGGGTTCGGCGCACACGGGGCGCCCCCGCGCGCGCGCAGCCAGCCGGAACAGACACTCGTGATGTTATATAACTGTTGATCCGCAGTGAGGCGCTCCTTGTTGCTGTCTGACGGTGCACACGATGCTGCGTCGAACAGCGGCGTCAGCCAGCACAGAGCCATGGCTCAATGGTGCACTTGCCGCGCCCGGCGCCGGGTGCCATACATACTGCTGCGCGTGACGCCTCGCCTGGGCCGCGCAAACCCTCCACCGTCCGGAGTACGCTGAGGCGCCCGCCTGCATATGTGCACTGAGGGGGCGGTTGCCGCTCGAGGGCGCTCCCCAGCCAGGTGACGGCTGGGGAGGGGGGTGGGGCCGCATGTTGCAAAGCGGGGCAGGATGTTGTGGGAGGACGCCCTCCGTGACGCTGTCTTGCCACCTTTCGTATCATGTTGCAGATTTGGTGCATGCAGCTCTATCATGGAGGCCTTCCGTTGGGCGCCTGAGATAGGCACCCGCACACCAACCCTGCCACCTGCCGACTCGGGGGGCCGTACACCGCCACCACGTCTCCATACCTTCCTCCCCCCAGCGTCCCAGAACATCCTCACGTGTCTGACAGCAACAAAGCAGAAGACATCATAGACTGCCATCCCATGCTTGGGCGAGGCGCGAGGGGTCACCTGCTGGGGTCAACAACTCACCGGCTTGGTAGCCAGCGTGGGCGGGCATGGAAGGCAGCACAAAAGCACAGCAAAATCGTGGCATTTCATTGCACAGTACTGTATGTTCACCGCAGATCGTTTCGAAATTCGGTTCGGGCTTCCGGCAGTCCTGCTGTCGACGACATGGCTCTCTGCGGCACACTACTTGCAGCTTTGAACTATCCTCAATCGGAAGGCTCCCCTTTGCAAGACGAGACGGCCCTGCGCCGCCTGGTGGCGTGGCTGGAGAACACGAAGGCAAGCCAAACGTCTGCACACGTACGATCTGACTGGACGCTCGCGCGGTGCCGGCCACACGACCGACTCGCTTGGCCACACGATCAGCATCGGCTCTGACAGTGGTTTGAAATTGCGGCAGCCAGGCTGGCCGGCAACTGCACCCGTGCCCCGCTGCGGACACGCGCCAGCGCGCACTCAGCCTCGTGGACGCCGCCCCCCACCTATCCGGCCCGTCCCCACCTGTCCCTGAAACGTAGGTCCGCCACTATCCAGAGGCCTCACGCCTGGGGCTCGACAATGTGCAGGATCCAGCGTGGGCGCAGCACTACGCCCAGGCAAGCCGGGCCGAGCACACCCGGCCTGGGGACACACCACGCAACTGTCCTTACCCCCTCCCTCCTAATCTCCAGCCCCCCCCTCCCTCGCTTACCTGCCAGCTGCCACCCCACGCACCCCGCGCCCATGTGGCTCTTGACTGCAATGTGCGCGCCCGCAC